TTGTTGTTATTAAAAAAAAAAAAAAAAAAAAATGCTCAGTCCGATGTATAAGGTAGTTTTTTCTAACTAAAAAATTTTTTGCCAATAGTAATACAGTACTGTTAGAAAATGTAGATTATAATTCACGAATAAGATGTAAAAGTAATAATTAAAAGTAAAGTTATGCTTCTAAGCTATCTAACTGACTGATTGTAGTCACAAAAGCGGCTCAAGCACTCAGAGAGAAGGAAAGCTGCATCTCATACTTGCTTATGGAGAGAGATTGCGCAATCTTACGCAGCGCTGTTGGGTGGGCAGATGTCACTAGCTCTGATAAAGATGAGTTATAAATACATGTTGTCTCTTATTATTTACTTAGTTTTACCCATGTGACATAAGTAGGAACAGCAACGGTGAGAAAGAGAGCCTTGTCGAATGAAAAATACATAAGGAGAAATAATTTTTAACTTAAATAATAACACTTTCAAAATACTCATCAAACACATCATGAATTCAATCATCATTATTCGTCATTGGTATCAACGGTTTTTATAATTCTGACAAATATTTTATACCGAAAGAATTTCCAGGGGTTTCCTTGCAAGGAAACGTTGTTGGCCATGGGATAATCAAGCCACCTTGCAATTTCAATGGTTCACTGTCAGATATAAAAAAGCATAACAATCACCAGAAAATAGAAGTGCACGGAATCAAATGGTTTAAGGGTAATGTTAGTTTGAATGACTTGAATATCATCTAATAACTATTGCCAAGAACCTAAGAAAAGTTATTGCTTACGGAAGTGATGGAGCTAAGTTCATAAGTTTAATCCTAAAGAGTGAAGTTCACGGTTCACGGTGCCAAATGCATCGTCCTTCAAAAGACTTTAAAGAAAAAGTCTCTTCTCCAGTATGCCTTACATATGGACAAAATCATTTTGAAAAGAAAAAACTATTTTGTGCCCTACATAAAGCACATTAATTAGAAAAATGGCTTCTGACTAGCATATCAATTAAGTCATTAAAGCAAGAGAGCGATTTATACTATGCGGCATATAAACGCCTTAAACGACAAAAGAAGCAGCTTACATAGATCACCGGCCACGACGTGGTTAGTTAAACGACGCACATAACATGTGAAAATGACGCTAATAATTAAATCAATTGTAAATATGGACTGTGCTTAGACGACGGAGATAGAGGATGGCTCTCCTTGGCCAGCGTGCGTCGCTTGGTCAGTGCGATAAAGACCAAAGACATGCTGATCGAAGCAGACGAGTACTTAAGTCACGCTCGTTCTAACGCTCTTCAATTGCAACTGACTCGCTCGCGGTTTGTCTAGAGAGACTGTACAACGTGGCGACAATTAAGGGAGGGGGGCCCTTTTGGGAGAGACCCCCCCGCGTTGCGGTGCCACGAGGCCTTCGTCTCTCTCTTTCTCGCTCTCAATAAGCGTATACACACATACGCGAACATATTCATTGTTTTTACTGAATTTTTTTATTTTTTGTCCCCAACCTTTATATTTATTTCAGTAATAAAATAAATTATTATTTTCAAGCCTACATGATCTGTGAGTATATTTTAATTTTATACTCGTTCAATTATTTTCCTTATTTTTAGTTTTAATGCGAATGTACGTGCAGCTTTTTCTATATTAACGTATGATATATATACATACATAAACTTTTTTTTGTAATTTTGTATTTATTATAAAAAAGAGAAAACGTTTTGTTTATTGATGTAAAATAACTTAAAGAAAATTGCATAAAAATTACTATTATTTGTTAGAAATAAATGAAATTATAATACAATAAAAATTATTTCTACATAAATAATGATATAAGATGGTAAAAGACTTTGTGACAGAATTATTTAACATTGTTAGAATAACTTTAGCTAATATAAAATAAGTTAACCAATGTTACTCAATTGTCAAAAGAAAGTTAGTATGCTCTGAATGAGTATACGCAGAAGAGACTTTGTCTTCAAAGTCTTTTGAAGGACGATGCATTTGGCACCGTGAACCGTGAACTTCACTCTTTAGGATTAAACTTATGAACTTAGCTCCATCACTTCCGTAAGCAATAACTTTTCTTAGGTTCTTGGCAATAGTTATTAGATGATATTCAAGTCATTCAAACTAACATTACCCTTAAACCATTTGATTCCGTGCACTTCTATCGTCTGGTGATTGTTATGCTTTTTTATATCTGACAGTGAATCATTGAAATTGCAACGTGGCTTGATTATCCCATGGCCAACAACGTTTCCTTGCAAGGAAACCCCTGGAAATTCTTTCGGTATAAAATATCTGTCAGAATTATAAAAACCGTTGATACCAATGACGAATAATGATGATTGAATTCATGATGTGTTTGATGAGTATTTTGAAAGTGTTATTATTTAAGTTAAAAATTATTTCTCCTTATGTATTTTTCATTCGACAAGGCTCTCTTTCTCACCGTTGCTGTTCCTACTTATGTCACATGGGTAAAACTAAGTAAATAATAAGAGACAACATGTATTTATAACTCATCTTTATCAGAGCTAGTGACATCTGCCCACCCAACAGCGCTGCGTAAGATTGCGCAATCTCTCTCCATAAGCAAGTATGAGATGCAGCTTTCCTTCTCTCTGAGTGCTTGGGCCGCTTTTGTGACTACAATCAGTCAGTTAGATAGCTTAGAAGCACAACTTTACTTTTAATAATTACTTTTACATCTTATTCGTGAATTATAATCTACATTTTCTAACAGTACNGGTGAATTTTTTTTTTTTTTTTTAATTTAAAATATTTTTAATTCCTTACTGCAGAAACATTTCTGATAGCACATAAGGAGTTATTGTTAAAGGCATGGTATTTGCAGGCAAGTAGGCTTCGTTAAGTTTTGCAAGCACTGGGCATCCATACTCCTCAATATTTACAACTCTAAGAGTGTGAACAACATGAATGACTTGCACCTGTATTAAATTTTATCATATGTGTGCATATAAACATACTAACATATAAGTATTTCTTCCAGGTGTTTTTTTTTATGACCCTGATAAATTTTTCCACTTGAAAGGTGGCTTAAGCACTATTAAAACTGCTATAGAATTTTTTCTTTGTTTCCTATCATCGAAGAGTTCGTGTTGAGCGTTTTATTTTTCCCTACTCTCTACAGGCGTTTGTCAACGATAAAGGGTCCGTTTCCCCCGCGAACTTGATAACGGTCCATCGCGACCTAGAGGCTCGAAACGAAATATTGGTAGCAGAGCGTGGTTGCCTGTACGAGAGCAGCGGAACTCGACAAACACGATGAAATCTTCGATAACGGAGCTGTGCAGCTAGCCGGGACAGCAGGGCTTCCTGGTGGCATCGCAACAAGCAGCTTCTGTTGTCTACTCGTATCATCGGCTTCACTACCAGTTTCTCCGAGAGCCATTCTTCGGCTACGATAAGTAGAGCAAACGGAAAAAGGTCTGTGAGTAGACAATTATCTCAACTTGTTCGGCAAATTTTGTTTTTGAAGGCTTCAAGGCCACATTCTGATCGTGCTATATCGAGCGAGTACGCCGATACATCTAGTCGCTTACTAGGAGAGCGTTTGTTTACTAGCGCACTTGCTTATCTCTGTTGTTCGCTGTAGTCGCTTGGCCTCGCAGTGAGCCGCGACTCACAAGCATACTTCTCGAGTCGTTGTTTTGATCGCGTTGAACGCTTACGTCTCTAAGCAGCATGGATAAGCTTCACCGATCCCAAACAAAATTGACGACGAATATAACAAATTTCTACGACAACTCGACCGTCAAGGTCGCCGTAGAAAAACAAACTCTGTCACATTTCGAGACGCGACTAGGTATTCTCGAGAACTATTGGTCAACTTTCATTTCTCGACACGAGGACTTGCTTGAGTACGAAGAGCAGCTAGCCAGCGATAGCTACTTCAAGGATGATGTATACTCACTAGTTGAGCTGGCGTATAGCGACGTGAAAGCGCGCCTCTTGACGCGAATTTCGGAGCTTAGGAGCCCCGCGCCGTTTCCCGGTCAACTTCCTGCGCCTATTATCAACGCTAATGCTGCGGAGCAATACGCGTCTTTGCCGCGGATTGCTCTGCCCACTTTTTAGGGTAAACAAGAGGAATGGGAGAGCTTCAAGCAGCACTTTTCTTCGCTTGTCGTCTCGAAGGCCACCGTCCCGCCGATAGCAAAATTGCAGCACTTGCTCAATGCTGTACAGGGCGCGGCTGCGCAGCGTCTGAAGGGTATCGAACTCACAGACGCAAACTTCCAGGTCGCATGGACAAAGCTTACTCGTCGCTATGATAATCCACGCGTACGTTTGTTTAACGGTATCGAGAACTTGATTCAGCTTCCAGCTGTTAAAGCTCGCAATGAAGCGGATCTTAACGAAACAATGGATCGTGCGGAGAAATCGGTTCGCGCGCTAATAGATCTCGGTTGCCCGATCGAGCAAACAAATTATTTTGTTGTTCATTGCGTCATTCGTAAACTCGACTTAACGTCTCGCGAGGCGTGGGAAGTTTTGCAGGAACGGACGGTTGGCTTTCCTTCATACGCAGATTTAACCACTTTCCTGGAGCGCCGAATTCACGCGCTCGAGCAGGCTCACGTCGGCCCGCAGTCGAGCGACGCCGGAAAAGCTAACTTGGCATCAAAACAAAGCGGCGATCGTTTTAAACGCGTCGTGGCGAACGCTGTGCAAACTGACGAGTCCGCCAGAACAACAAAGAGCTGCGTAGCTTGCAAAGGCAATCACTACGTAAATAGGTGCCGCGATTTCAAATCCATGCCAGTATCGCAGCGCTGGGATTTATGCAAACGCGAGAGACTTTGCGTAAATTGCCTGAGAGCGTCGTATTTTGTGGAAAAATGCCCCTCTCCCAATCGTTGTGTGACTTGCGATGCAAAGCATCACTCGAAGTTGCACTTCGAGAGAATAGCAAAGCCGCGCAACGAGGAGGTTTCCTCGCGTGCTAGCGCCCCTCGCAAGGACGACAATCCTTCGGACGAGCCTGCCAGCCCTCCTGTTGCTGCGCACAATGCATTAGTTGGTCGCACAATTCTTCTTGCGACCGCTGAACTAATCGCGATTGGCCCCAATGGCAAGCGGCTGCGCATTCGCGCTCTTGTTGATCCTGGGGCCAAGCGCTCCTTCATTACGCATTCCGTGATCTCAGAGCTGGGACTTCTTTGTAGTTCCGTGAATATCAAGGTCGTCGGAGTAGGCGGAAGCGCTTCTTCAACAGCGCACCGCAAAGCTGAACTCAAGGTGGCACCCCGAGGTGAATCCAACTTAACGATCTCGGTCTCGGCGTTAGTGTTGCCTAAGCTCTCTCAGCCTCTGCCTCACAAGCATGCGGTTACCTCGGAATTGCCTCATAACCGAGGGCTCAAGTTAGCCGATCCACAGTTCTTCGAGTCTCGACAGATAGACTGCATCCTCGGTGCCGACGTCTATCCGTCGGTCATTCAAGATGGAACAAAGCGCGGTCCAGCGGGCGCCCCTTTAGCTCAAAACTCCGCTTTCGGATGGCTGCTCACGGGACCCCTGGCCAGCGTTGACACAAGCAACACGATGCACGTTCGCGCGTCTCACATTCACACTGATAATCTACTTGCAGTAGAATTACAGAAGTTTTGGGAAATCGAGGAGGCGCCACGCAAATCCTTGCTCACGAGCGACGAGAGAAAATGCGAGGAGTCGTTTCATGAGACTTTTTTTCGCAATGCCGACGGCCGTTTCGTGGTTAAGCTGCCTTTCCAAAGCACGCCAAAGTTTTTCGCCTCTCGAGATATCGCCACTGCTTGCTTCATTCGCTCCGAGAAGCGCAGACATCGTGATAGCGATCTCGCTGAGTCTTATGGTAGCTTCATGCAGGACTACATAGACCAGCGTCACATGGAACCCGTGCCATCTGACGAGATCAGCAGGCCATCTTTTTATTTGCCTCATCATGCAGTGAGACGGTCCGAGAATCCAAGTAAGGTGCGCGTAGTCTTCAACGCGTCGCAAAAGGACTCAAATGGCGTCTCGCTCAACGACTTGCTGCTGGCAGGTCCCAAGATTCAAGCGGATATCACTCAAGTGCTGACGATGTGGAGATTTTTTAAGTTTGTATTTACAACGGACGTAGTCCAAATGTTTCGACAAATCCTTGTACACTTGGATGACAGGGACTGGCAACGAGTGCTCTGGCGCTCCTCCGCCGTCGAGCCCATCATGGACTATCGGTGCACGACTATCACCTATGGGACGGCCTCTGCGCCTTACTTGGCGCTCAAGGTCATGCAAACTCTCACCACAGACGGCGCCGAGACTCACCCGCACGCCGCTGAGACGCTACGCCGTCGACTCTACGTCGACGACCTATTTGCTGGAGCGGACACGCTGGACCAGGCGCGCCAGCAGCGCGACGAGACGATTCAGCTGCTGTCATCCGCCGGCATGGCGCTAGGCAAATGGGCAAGCAACAACTCCTTCATCCTTGAGGGGCTTGAAGCAATGGCGGCTAAGGCCATTAACCTTAAGCAGGACGACGCCGTGTCAACACTGGGCTTGCAGTGGCTGCCCAGCTCGGACTCCTTCAGCTTCAAACAAAAGGGGATGCTCGTTGGTCATGAAATCACCAAGCGCGTCGTGCTGTCAGAGATTGCGCGACTCTTCGACCCTTTTTGCTGGATAGCTCCAATTATCGTAAGTGCAAAGATTGTTTTACAGGATATTTGGCTCCTCAGCCACGAGTGGGATGAGCTGCTGCCCAACGACCTCCAGTCACGCTGAACGCGCTATCGGGGTGAGATGCAACAGATCTCGCTCATCAACCTCCCGCGGAGGCTGGGTGGCCTCGAGGCCGAGGAATGACACCTGCATGGATTTGCTGACGCCTCAAAGCGAGCTCATGCAGCAGCGATTTATGCGGTGTACCCGAATCGCTCTGCTCAGCTCCTCTTTGCAAAAACAAAGTTGGCGCCCACCAAAATTCAGTCGCTGCCTAGACTCGAACTGTGCGGTGCAGTGCTGGCTGTACGGTTGGCCAAGCACGTGTCGGACGCTTCACCAATCAAGCCGAGTCGCATCCACCTCTGGTAAGACTCACGCGTGGTGCTGGACTGGCTGAAGACTCATCCGGCCCACTGGCCAACCTTCGTCGCCAATAGAACGAGCAAAATTCTCTCCGAGTTGCCAGCAGCTACGTGGAGGCACGTCAAATCCGCCGACAACTCCGCAGATTGCGCCACCCGAGGCTTCGCGCCTTCGGCGCTCGCTCAATTTCATCTTTGGTGGCACGGACCTGTGTGGCTCACGCAGGAGCAAGAGAAGTGGCCTACTCAAGCTGCAGACGCCACTCCCAACGACCAGCCACAGGTGTTTGCGGCGCAGAAGGAGAGACCCAAGGACGTCTCTGCGCACCCGTGCCTTCCTCGTTTTTAAAAGTTCTCCAGCTTTGACAAGATCGTCCGGATGCTAGCTTACAGCTGACGTTGGCGCGTTCGCCCCATCTACCAAGAACACCAGCCGATTAATCCCTTTTTTTCAGGCAAAGAGATTCGGCTCACCACTCTTCTCTGTTTTAGAATTATTCAGAGTCATCACTTTGCTAGCGAGCTGGAGAGGTTGAAGCGTGACAGCTCTGTCTCCGCTCGCAGCCCTCTCCGTCGGCTGTCGCCTTTCATCGACGATAACGGAGTCATTCGAGTCGGCGGCCGCCTCGATCATTCAGCGCTTCCGTACAGCGAGAGGCACCCGGTCATCCTGCCGAGCCGTTGCACGATCGTCAGGAGACTCGTCGAAGACACTCACCAGTGGACCCTTCATGGCGGGGTCCAACTGATGCTGCCGCACTTGCGTCGTTCTGTTTGGATTTTACGGGGCCAGCGCCTAGCAGTCGGAGTACTCCACTGCTGTGCTAAGTGCACGCGCCATGCTGCACGGAGCCCTAGCCAACTCATGGGCCAACTGCCGACTGCACGAGTCTCCCCGTCTCGTCCGTTCTCGCACACGGGTGTGGACTTCGCTTGACCGATTCCCGTCCTGTTTTCAAGAGGACGAGGCGCCAAAACAACCAAAGGCTACATCGCCGTCTTTATTTGCACTGTCACGCGGGCAGTTCACCTCGAGGTAGCCTCTGACCTTTCAACCCATGCTTTTCTTGCAGCCTACTCTCGTTTCACTGCATGCCGTGGAGTTTGCGCTATGCTGTACTCGGATAACGCCACGAACTTTAAAGGCGCAACTTCCGAGCTTCAGCGCATGCTGGCCAGCTCTTCATTTGCTTCAAACATCTCCGAGAAGCTGGCAGCTCAAGGGACGGACTGGTCCTTCATCCCCCAACGAGCTCCTCATTTTGGTGGGCTTTGGGAAGCCGCCGTCCGAAGTGCAAAGCATCACCTCAAGCGCGTGATCAGCGAGACCAGGCTCACCTTCGAGGAACTGTCGACGTTGTGCGCCAAAATTGAGGCCTGCCTCAACTCAAGGCCTCTGTGCGCCTTGAGCAATGAAGTTACGGGCGAGCTCGCCCTCACTCCGGCACATTTCCTGGTCGGCTCTGCGCTGCTCTCTCACCCCGAGCCATATGACGAAGCGCAGAGCCCAATGTCACCTTCCAACCGCTGGAAGCTACTTGTCGACCTTCATAACTTATTTTGGTCCAGCTGGAGAAAGGAGGTCCTGCATCAGCATCTCAATCGATGCAAGTGACTCCTTGAACGAATTTACAAGAAGGAGACGTCGTTCTCGTGCGTGATGAACTCGCGCCCCCAGCCACCTGGCCCTTGGGTGTGGTAATTGCCACGCAGGCCGGGGCGGATAACCTTGTGCGCGTAGCCACGGTGAAGACGGCTGCCTCGACGCTTTCGCGACCAATTGTAACTGTTAACTCAACCCGAGCTCGAGAAGTGCTATTCCGAGCAATCAAAATAAACTCAGTGCTAATCAGTAGTTTATTCACTTACGAACCCATTAATTAATTCGAGTTTCTGTTTGTTTGTTTTTTTTTCAATTGCAAAACTTGTATATTCTTCATGTTCATGTCAGCTCGTGGCCAGGGTAAGCTACTAACACTATTGTATAGCTGCGCTGGCTATCGTCGTAGCAGTAGGTTTAGCTCTATCCGCTTACAGGCTTTTGTTCTATCTCGCTGTTTTGAATTCATTTTGACGCTGTTGCCTCAAGGTGGGCGGTATGTTCGCGTATGTGTGTATACGCTTATTGAGAGCGAGAAAGAGAGAGACGAAGGTCTCGTGGCACCGCAACGCGGGGGGGTCTCTCCCAAAAGGGCCCCCCTCCCTTAATTGTCGCCGCGTTGTACAGTCTCTCTAGACAAACCGCGAGCGAGTCAGTTGCAATCGAAGAGCGTTAGAACGAGCGTGACTTAAGTACTCGTCTGCTTCGATCGGCATGTCTTTGGTCTTTATCGCACTGACCAAGCGACGCACGCTGGCCAAGGAGAGCCATCCTCTATCTCCGTCGTCTAAGCACAGTTCATATTTACAATTGATTTAATTATTAGCGTCATTTTTCCGGTCTTCTTTTCTGATTCGCCTTCATCTTCATATTTGCTGTAAAGAAAAAATACAAGTTGTTTCCTATCATCGAAGAGTTCGTGTTGAGCGTTTCATTTTCCCCTACTCTCTACAGGCGTTTGACAACGATAACGGGTCCGTTTTCCCCCATGACCTTGATAACGGTCCATCGCGACCTAGAGGATCAAAACGAAACAGAATAAATTAAAAGACTATTAGTTTATTCATGTATTCAATGAATATACAAGGTTAAAGTATTACATATTTATATTTTATATCCTACTACAGTATTTAAATATAAATAAATGAATTCAAGTTTTAGGTGTTTAGGTACTCAAAGCATTTTTTACTATCATTTATTTGTGAATCATAATTTTTGATTATCAAAAACTATAATAATATAAATAAGTCATTATGATTTGATAATGTATATATTTGACTCATTTTTTTACTATTATTTATTAGTGAATCGCTGTTTTTGATTATCAAAAACTATAGTAATATAAATAAGTTATTATGATTTGATAATAAGTATTGTTGTTAACATACGTCAGCAATCATAGTAGATAACTTTTTAAAAAGTAACACTTTAATTTTAATCTGTGATATCACATGCCATTGTCAATAGATTATAAAACATTAATTGCAAGAAGAAAATGTTATATTATTACACTTGAAAAAAAAAAAATGAATGAAAGTAATTTGTCACCTCAGATCAAAATAAAACATAGTTTTTTTCAAACGATTCTTCTTGATCAAGTGAAAAGATATAAAAAAATTTTAATTAATTCTTACTTATTAAAAAAAAGAACCTGTATAGGTCTTGTGTCTTCTTTTAGTACAACCTCTTTTGAATTCTCCTTTAGAATTGATTGTAAAGAATATTCTAAAATACATATTCTTTAGAAATACTGATAAGTCAAAATTAAATTGTTGTTAATTAATAGAGCTTTTACTTTTGCATACACTTTAGTGATTTTTATTCTTAAATAATATACCAAACCAAAAATATAATAGAATATAAATATTATGAAGATTCTTTAGAACACTATTTGCACTTGATGAAGATTCTTTCACTTATTTAAACGTAAAACTCGGTCGACTTACCAAATCAACTCTTTTCCTTGTTGTTTTCTATAATTCAAATTAGTATAATAGACTTCCACTAGGGATTCTTTATTTTTAGATATTGTTACACACGTTTTATATGATTAATCAAATGCATGAAATTGTTGATAACTTTAGCTATTGAAACTCGGTATTAAAAATATTCAAGGTCGGCATCATTTATACCTTTTTGAAAACAGTTACCCTCTGTTCGGCTAACTAAAATTATATAGTACTTATAAAACATACCCTAAGTTACCATAGTAAATAGAAGTTCTTGTTTCTTTTAAAAGTGTTTAATGATCGTATAAAATACCATTAATAATTTTGTTTTTTTCTTTATGTTGCACGAACTGCTGTTTTGCATGCGTTCACAACAACAAGATGGTTATCTTTTGGATTGCAAGATTCATAGCATCCGTGTAGGTATTTTGCTTCATTTTCCAAGGTATAATAAAAATTATATCAACATTAAAGGTAATTTATCAAAAGTTTATTAATAACTTGCATTTTTTTTCTATTGTATGTTTAACTCATTCTGCAATTTGTTACTGCTCTGTGAGTTATGAGGATATATTAATTAAACAGCTATTCATTAACCTATTCAAACTGCATGAAACACTTATGCAATTTTATGGTTATCCTAATAAAAAATATGTTCATGAACGTTTGTAAATTTGCTTATAATTTTTTAATAATAATAAATTGTCGATTTGATTAAAACAATCGAGGTATTTTAGATAATTTATAAGAAGTTTAATGATCTGTAACGAACGATATCCAAAGCATATCATACTGACTCTCCCTAGTAACAGCGAGGCCACTTTATCAAGAAGGCATCAACAAGTGGGGAACAAGCCAATATAGGGCCCAGCGAGCCAAAAATCGTGGCAGCTAGGCAGTCAGGCAATCAAGCAGTCAAGCAGTTGAGCAGTCGGAGAGTCGGACAATCACGGCAGTCGGGCATTCGCGCATTCGGGAATTAAGGGTACACGACTAGCTTTCAAGGGCAACACACGCGCTACTTGGCCTATGATAACGGTAACATAAATAAAGTGTCTTCAAAATAACAATTGTTGGTCATTCTCGCGACGCACCTCCTTACCAATCTCTTTCCCATGTAACAGTTTTGGTGCTAGGTGTGGGGTATGGTAAGAGTCGGAATTTTTTTTCTTTCATTGCACGCATTTTAAAAAATTTTTCCAAGAAGCACACATAGTGTAGTGCCACTAGAATACGACGATTGAAAATCGGGAAGCCGAGGAGCTGATCAAAGATAACAGTTTTGGTCACATTTGATAAGCAGCGGTGACAACAGCCTGGAAGCCAACAGGACCAGGATACCAATTGCAGATAATCCTAGGATGAAGTAAACAAGCGGCAAGCGCTGAAGGGAAATGGTTGCCAAAATTTTATTCTCATTGGCGTGCATGTATACGAGCACGTAAGTACATTTATAATAAAATAAATTCTATCCCTTACCCTCAAGGCAAGATAGGGAGGATACTTACCAGATGAAGATTAGGTCGTGGGAAATCTTTTTTATTGATATATATTTTTATTTATTATCTCGTTCGCTTTTTTTTTGGTGTTCTTTTTCAAAAAAAAAAAACCCGAAGCAAACATCACGTGAAATAACAGACTGAAATAAGCAGTGGACTAGGAAAATTTTTGCACAACGAACATAAACCAGAGGGATTTCATTAGTAGGCTTTGTAAGACACAGGAAACATCCCGAAATCACTACTCGTATCAATATCGGCTGAAAAATTTTTTACCATTTTTATTATCATTTTTTTTTTTTCAACGACAATAGACGACAAATTTTCCAAATTTTTTTTTCCTTATTTACCACTAAACGAGAATACAGGATAAAATCAAAGTAACTAGGTGAGAGACGAATACCGCTCTTGTACTCTCTTATCTCGCCCTCTACAATTTTTTTTCCTCTCGTCTGATTATTATTAAGCTGCAACATAAGTAACTAAACGTGGTTCTACAACTGTAGGAGAGTACATAAGATCTAGTATAATTAAAAAGGAATATACGACTTACGATATTTATAAAAAAAAAGGTAGGAAAGAAAAATGACTCATTTTAGCGGTATGACCCATGAGTCAGAAAACGAAAAGGGAGGCCTGGATGATAATATGATAACCGAAATGAGCAGGCCAGGACCCAGTAAAAAGCAGCAAAGAAAAAGTATGACAAAACAAATGTTAGAATTAGAGCTTGAACCAGAAGGTTGTGAAATACTGGATGCCCTATACAAAAAGACTAAAGCAATCATGATGGGCTCATTTTCAAAAATAAAAGCGAAGCTAAAGAAAGCAGTGGAAGTGAATGTGCCTTAAGAAGTGTTCACAGAGACCATTCAAAATTCTTTATCGATAGGTAGGGATCGTAGGGATATATCTGGTGACACAAACGTAAACATAGGACGCATGAACAAAGAAGTGGGTTTTGTTTCTGGTGGACGAGTCAGAGAGCAAAATGCGAGGAGAGCTGAAGAGATATGCGGAGCTTGAACCGACAAAATACGGGAATTTAGCAAATAATAGAGGCTGTGCTGCTCACAACACGAATTTGCGCATAGCAGCTCCATCATATACAGAGAAAAGGGTAAATACCACCTACTTTGGGATGAAAAATATGAACATCAATAGAATATTAGAAGAACTAGACGGAACATTGAAAAATAAGGGGGTTTCAAATGGTGTTAACACCCTATCAGCACAAGGAGAACTTAAGTTAATTAATTAACAGGGGAACTCCAGGACCAACCCTCTAGCTGACAGGACACTCTTCGAAGAGATTATTAGAAAGGCTTGTGGGCTCGCAAAAAAAAAAGAAAACTACAACACATAAAGTAAATTAATACGACAATAAGTAGATATAAGCGCTAGGAGTCGATCGACTGTATTGGGGGGCGCAGTCTGTAAGACAAAGACAAGAAAGAATTTTCTTTGCTCTTTTATACTAATGGTAAGAAATTTGTATAAAATTTTTTTTTTTTTTTTTTGCAAAATAAACAGGTGATAAATAAGTGTGTGAGAAATGATAAACTAG